TGGCATTTAGGTCAGGTGAGGGATAAGAATGATGGACTATGAGTCAGGAAAGATTTTTTATTCAAATTCTACTTCAGACACTTATTAACTATGTGGCCCTGGGCAAGTCACTTAACCTACTACCCTTACCCTTAGTTTCCTAATGTGTAAAATCAGGATAATAATAGCATCTATGTTGTAGGGCTGTTATGAAGCTTAAATGAGATAACACGTATACAGCTCTTTGCATACCTCCAAGTGATCTACAAGGGAAGGGAATAAACATTTCTGTGGCATCTATTATGTGCTATGCACTGTGGTAAGCACTTTTGAGGAATATCTAATTTGATCTGCATAGTAACCCTGCAAGGTAGGTGCCATAATTATCACCCTTTTACAGTTGAGGAAACTGAGGCAAAGAGTGGTTAAATGACTGGCCCAGGGTCACACAGTTAGTAAATTTTGTAGGCCAGATTTGAATATAGGTCTTCTGACACCATGCTCAGCACTCTTATCGACCACCAGCTGCCTCCGTGTAAATGTTAGCTCTTATTATATTTGCATTTGATGTTTCCCCTTTCTTACTTCAGAAGTTTGAGAAGACTCACAAATTAAAAGGAAAAAAAAATAAGGTAAAAACTGAACAGAGATTATCTGAAGGGAAGAGTTGAGATGTATACCTTTAGGCACATGAATTAAGAAGATTTGAACACTTGAGTGATAAATTGGGCTTTAAGTTTCCTGGCAGCTAAATCCAAAAGAGACCATGCTTTCTTACAGAGTTTTTATTTTCTGACAAAAGAAAGCTTACAAATTCATCTGCTGAGCCAAAATTCAGCAGAACCAGGCATGAGCAGGAATTCATCATAAGGGTTTGTTTATAAAGAATAGTGAATAACATAACAGACAATATCTTTTTGAGTTTTGCAAAAACCACAGAAAAACTACCTAGGTAGTGAGTTGTCATCCTCTAAAAAGCAGAAGGCATAACATTAAATCACAACTAAGTGAAAGTTTTGGGTTTTGTTTGTTTTTTTATTGTGAGGGATATGATAACATAGCCCATGTACTTTGCTTTCCAATGATTTAACATGGAAAGAGAAGTGGAAAAATCAAGGACCATGGATAGTTCCTATATTACAAGACTCTCAATTTCAATGTCAGATATCTCCAATGAACTTTGGACAGGTGACATTCAGGTCGCAAACAAAATTCTCTAACAAAATTATCAAAGTAGTTAGGATGCAGATCTGTGGTAGGTTATTATTACTATTTATTATTATTATTATTATTATTGTTATTGTTATTATTAAAGTGAGAGACACAGGCCTCAGGTACCTGCCCAATAGAAAAAGGTCAATATTTTGTAACAAAAGTATTAGAAATAGACTTGTTTCCTTGCACTCAAAAGGCTGCTGCTGCGGCCATCAGTGGTTAAGTTCTTTTCCCACATTATCGAAAGAACATAAACTCTCTAGTCAAAGGATTGAGGTTCAAATACCCCCCTAAAGGTCACCACCTGTGTGACCTCTGGCAAGTCACCTAACTTCATTGGGCCTCAGTTTACTGATTTGTAAAATTAGGTTAGTATAAATGGCCTCTGAGGTCCCTTTCAGCTCTAGATCTATGGTCTGGAGACCCTGTGATACTTAGAACCATTCTATGGTATACAATAGAGGCATTTGGTGGGGGTGGTAGATCTGTGATTTCTTTGGTATAGGAAAGTCTTATATGAAAGGTAGATGGTATCGGTAGACAGAGAGCAAACCACTGAGACAGGAAGACCTGGAATCAAATGCTGCCTCTTGATAACAATAACAATAATAATAATTAACTGCCAACCACTGTGCTAAACTCTTTAAAATTATTATCTCATTTGAGCTTGAAACAATCAGCCAATATTAATAATAACTAAACCATATAGTGTTTTCTGCATGCTAAGCACTTTATAATTATCTCATTTCATCTTGAAAGTTAGTAATAACAATAATAAAAATAAGTAGCATTTACATAACTTTTTCTATGTGCCAAGCCCCATGCTGGGTGCTTGGCCATTATTATTCTATTTGATCTTGAAATAATCCACCAATCAAGCAATAAACATTGATCGCCTATCATGCACTATGCAAAGTGCTGGCTTGCTAACAATCACTTAACAACAACAACAACTATTACTACTGCTACTTCATCTTCTTTTCTCTCTCTCTCTCTCTCTCCCTCCTTTCCTGCCTTTGAAAATTTTTCTAGTTTTCAAATAAAAGCCTCCATTATATTTACCACAACTTCTTTCAACCCCCACCTCTGGGGCTTCCTGGTTCTTTTTCTCCTTGCCCAGTTGTGTGGCCCTGTGCGTTGCCCTATGAATCACATAAATCTTGGAGCAGAAGGTGACTAGGGCATCCTTACAGCTTCCTAAAGATGGCCTATAGTTCTGTGCTGTATTTGCTGGTACAGTAATTTTGTCTGAAGTATTAACATAACAGCAAATGTCAACATGGGATAGTGCAGAAATATCACAAAAGTCCCGAGTCTAGCCAGAACCAGATTAAAATCCAATTGGGAGATATTTAATAAAATAAATAAAAATCCAAACCACACAGATAATATCAGTAGATGGTTTTCCAAGTCAATATTCTGCCCACAGGCATCCTTTGGTATGGTTTAGTGGCCCTTATTTCTATTTTAGTTTGACATCCACTAATTTAGTAGCTAAAGAGCCAGCCTCAAACTCTAGAAAACCTGGCTTCAACTTCTACTTATAACTCTTAATGACTGTATGATTAGGAGTCACCTAGGTGAGTCACCTTCACTCAATGTCCCCAGGCAACTCTCTAAGACCATAAGTTGAAGCATGTGTCAATCAGCATTGGTTGAAGGAATTTCCTCAATGGGAATTCCATATACCAGTGAAATCTTAAGGGGGAGCGCTCCCCCTTATCTCATAAACTCTAAGAAAGAAGTAGGGTCTATATGTATTCATGTCAAAATGAGCTTATAGGAGACTTAACTTTGGCGGGCTTAAGATCTGCAAAGAGTAGAAAGATGGCCTTCTATGCTAGATTTGGGCCCTATAGACTTCAGGTTGGTCTTGTGAAGCTGGCCCTAATGCTCTGGCCATATTTCAGCACTTAATGATGCTATATCACTGACATCCCAGACCAATTTTTTGGTGACCTACCCTCGGAATATTCTGACATTTTCATTACATGAGCAGAACATATCTCTAACATAAGGAAAGAGGTCAGCCCAGTTAGAGAACTCTAGCTTATATTATAATTTGGACAGGTGAACTCATCAATCCCAACCTGAAAATAGATCTTAACTATGTGCCTGAGTGGCATCTCCTGGCACAAAATCTTTGCACCATTTTCTTGACACTGCCAGAAAGGGAATCATATGAATAAAAGAGCCTCTTACCAGGATTTAAAAGAAAAAGTGCTAGATACCAGTGAGGACAGAGCAAGGAAGGGGTATCTAAGGACCCGACAAAGACATTTATGATGCCACCACATTGCCAGAACACCCTGACCTTCAGGGTGCATTTTTACAGAAAGTGGTTTATTTTGGCTAAGCACTGGGACACTGTTGACAGAAGACCTAAACCCAGAAATCATATGACTGCCTACCACCTAAAAGACATTCATGCAAAGAAACATCACAATGATAGAGTTAATGCAACCGAAAACCTGGAGAAATGGTGACTTTATATGGAAGACATGACATTCAATGACGGACCTGGCTAATTATGAAAAATATTAGTGTTTTAGAGAAATGCTCATATTATCTGAGTGTCATGGGTCTGTATCTTCTTCCCATTTTTTCTATTCTAGGTCATTCTTGTAGCAGGAATCTAAAATTCTCTTGGTAAATATTTTTCTCAAATCATGAGCTTAGAAAAATTTATGTAAGGTATAAGGGTAAAGTCATCATTTGCAATTAAGTATTTGTGTCAGCTAAATTCCATATCATATACAGAAATAAAACATGGAAAACAACAGTCTCAAGAATTGAAAATGAGTACCACACAGAGCAAAATGGAAAGGAACATGGTTGATGTTATCAGGATGCAACACATAACAAATAAGAAACTTGGAAGAACAATAGTCATTATCTCATCAGAGAAATGTATAAATAAAAAGGAAAATGGGCATCTGATCATTTGGCAAGGATGAAGTCCAAAAGGCTTGAGTACCCCTACTGGCATCCTTGTGATGTTAAAAGAAAGCTAGGAAGACCTCTGGCATGATGAGTGGACCCTAAGTAGCAGATGTATGAGAGGATATAAACAAGAGTCTCATAGAAGGAATAGGCATGGATGGGTTGTAACCTACATCATTGGTGGGAACTCCCAAATTGATGAGATCACAGAATCATCATGTATTTCAGTACATTACCCAACTTTTCATTTTATCCCTGGTTGTTAGACATCTGTTTCTTCTCCTTCACTTGCTTTTGTTTGGAATGTTATTCCCCTCCTCTCCTAGAGTCTTACAAGGACTATCCTTAAGGCACTCATTGGTTAGTACACCAACTTAAAGTCAAATGGATTCATAAAGTGGATTAAATTACAAATCATGAAAAACATGAATTTGTAACAATAATTTGAACAATCCACTTACTCTCAAAAGTGATATACTTCTGTGTAAAGAAGAATGGAATAGTTTGTCTTGGGAAAGCATGAATTTCGTAAACTTTTTAAAGAGTTAGCAACTAACACTTTATATCACCATGTGATTAAATACACTCCTAACACATGTATAATTCAGTTGTAGTGGATTATACATGACACAGTAAAGGGGAAAGTCCTAAATTTCAGTAAAGTGAAATTTCAGAAGTGAAACCCATCTTCTCCATTGCTACTGCTCCTCCTCCTGAAACAGGAGGGATTTGAACCAAAAGCCTCAACTCTCACTTTTCCTGTTACTTTCTCTTTGTGGAAATCAAATATCTTATTAATGATGAAAATGAATTCCTTTCTAATGTTCTTACAAACCCTTTTTTTTTTTCAATGAACCCCTCAGGTGTATCAATATATGCATGAAACTATAACGGTGAACGGCTGCCCGGAGTTCCGTGCCAGGGCCACTGCAAAGGTAAGCCTTGTGCAGCTTTAAAAATATACTCTACCCCAGTGATCCAGTAATTGATTGTGCGCGTGTGTGTTTCAGGTATTCTCGTGTGTACACTGTAAGAAAATTTAGACATCAGTGGCAGCCCAGAGTCTAGACCAGTACCGCTTCCCAGGTAAAACTCCTAATGGAAAATTCAACGTTTCTGCTGCTTCTGTAGCTTAACAAAGGAGAATGATTTCATTGAATTCACTGAGTGTCAAGCAAATCTACTGGCCCATTGTATGAGATACTCCGTGGTTTTCTGATATTGTTCTAGGACAATAGGGCCTGTTCAGTGTATGGGGGATTTCTTTGCATAAGGCTGAAAAATGAATCTATTAGCTATGTAAATGTATCACACTCCATGCATTGATCTCAGACTCCTCCTGGGTACCCAGCCAGGCTCTGTGTATCACGGTCATTGAATGGGGCCGGCACCCAGAGGGGGAGCCCTGACCATCTTGAGACCTAAGAGAACTGGCTTGCTTCTCCTACCATATTCCAGGGACCTTTTTTCCTTTGAAACTCAGAACCAGAGATATCAGAGGCTCTCTTACCAGAAACCTTACAAGAAAATTTAAAAATGAACATTCAGTATTCCGAAAAATAAACCATTAGTAAACCATGACCTTCAAAATAATTTGCAATGAACCAAGCCTTTTAAAAATTCAGCATATTTTAGAAAAGGTATGTATTTTTTCCCCCCAGGAAAGCTAGCTGTCTGACAAGGCAAAAATAGCAAGGATTTTCTCCCCATTAATTCTTTTCTGCATTTCATCATCTCTTATCTGAGAGCTAAACTTCATCTGCTTTCTCTCATCTCCTTTTTGTGGGGCCTTCATATTCACATTCAAAAATTTAAATAAATGCTGTAGATCCATAAGGTATAGTCAAGCAAATATGGAATATCGTTCTCGTTAGATTGTGATTTGTTTATGTTGAGATGGAACACAAAAACACGTTTTCTACGTGGTGTAATTAAGGTTGCCAAGAATTATGTACTGCTTTACCACTCTCATTTCTTATTCATGTAGAACAGCAGGAGAGCAGCACCATGTTGCCAATAGTACAGTATTTCCTGGTTGTCTCTGGGCTGTCTGCACTGCATCCGTCAGCCACTTAACCCATGCATGATGGCAAGGTCTGCATGAGCCAAAGCATGAAGCTGAAAGCAAGCCACTACTGTCATATCATTCACTCCCTGTCACTAAATGAAGACATTAGCATAATGCTAAATTGATGTTAATGAGATCAGGTGGGGGAAAGAATGTTAAAGAGCAGGGATCGATATTTTACAAATGTTTAATAAATCATTCCATAGTGGACAGGTAATCAAAAGGAAGTTATGAAGGGCAAATAAAAGTGAAAATCTCTTTTCTTGAAAGAAACTTTCCATACTTTGAGGTAATAGGGTTTTAGATTCCTGGGTGGAAGACACCTCTAAGGCCATCTCATCCAAACTTCTCAGTTTTACAAATCAGGAAACTGAGGTCCAGTAACGTAGAAATGACTGGCTTAGGGTCACAAAAAGTTAGTGGCAGAGTGGATGATGGATAAGCACTGGATTTAAAGCCAGGCAGAACTGGGTTTGAATCCTGTGTCTTATACTTCATATACTAAGTATATACCTAGTATATACTTAGTATATGAAGTATACTATACTATAATACTATAATATATAATATATATAGTATATAGTATATATATATGTATACACTAAAATACATGTATACATAAAGTATACATATATATATATGTATACACTAAAATACATGTATACATAAAGTATACATATGCTTTACTACCAAGTATATATAGGTACATTTAGTGTCTGAGCCTTCAGTTTCCTCATTTGTAAAATAAAGGAATTTGGACTTGGAAGCCTCTTAGGTTTCTTCCAGATCTAAACTGACGACCTTATGAATTGGATTTCTATCAAAAGTTGTAAAGTTAGGGGCAGCTAGGTGGCACAGTGGATAGAGCACCAGCCCTGAAGTCAGGAGGACCTGAGTTCAAATCCGGCCTCAGACCAAACACTTGACACTTACTAGCTGTGTGACCCTGGGCAAGTCACTTAACCCCAATTGCCTAATAAACAAACAAACAAACAAATAAATTTTTAAAAAATAGTAAAGTTATCTGATTATTTGAAGTTATAAAAAATGATAAACATACTGGAAAATGTAAAAGATAAATAATAAATATGCATTCAATTATTACAATAATTGTTGCTCAGAAAGAAAGATCAAGGTGTTAACTTTTTTTCCTATTTTAGGTAATATTTGAAAGCTGCTCCTTTTGCTAAATTCATTATAACAAGATGGGTGAAAATATTTACAAATGTGGGGGAGGGGGGAAACTCAGAACAGATTTCTATCATATAATATTATGTAATAATATAAAGATGCCAGATTTATCTTATCAGAGTCTAAATTGATTTCAAATAAACCTGAGGTGTTTGAATCTAGAGTTGCTTTAAGTGGTAACATTATAGACACCATTGGTATTTACCAAAAAGGTTGAGGGGGAAGAATGAAATTTACTAAATTAATAACCTGGGAATGTCAGTAAAAGATACAAGTTATACATATTTAGTTCCTTCATGCAGGACTTCTAGTGAGTCCAAATTAATTCCAAATAAAACCGAAGTATTTGAACCTACTAGTTCCAATAGACTTCATCAGTGTTTGCCAAAAAGGTAGGGGGATGAAATTTACTAAATTAATAATCAGAGGGCAGCTAGGTGGTGCAGTGGATAGAGCTCCAGCCTGGGAGTCAGATGGACCTGAGTTCAAATCCGGCCTCAGACACTTGATATTTATTAGCTGTGTGACCCTGGGAAAGTCACTTAACTCTGACTGCCTCACCAAAATGCAATCAATAAATAAACAGTCTGGGAATGTCAGTAAATGGTATAACATATAAATATATATGTAGATATATACATACATATACACATATATGCATACATATACACATATACATACAGACAAATACATACCTATATATGCAAATACATATACATATCATATATATACAAACACATACGTGTGCACACACATACACACATAGTTCATTCACCCAGTGCTTCTGGTGGGATGCCTAGCTGGATTCAAAGAGCTGATTGTTTACTAGGAGAGATAAGACAGCTATCTCAATACCAGGGAATATGTGATGTATCATGTGAGGAGAAATCAATTCCAGCTATGGCCATTAAGGAGGGTGTCATGGTGCCTTTTGACATGGACCTGGAGTGATAAATCACAGATTTAGAGATGTCAGAGATCATTGAATTCAACCTCTTCATTTTACAGAGAAGAAAACTGAGGCCCATAGAAATTAATTGATTTGCCCCAAAACACCTAAAGAGCGCACATAGTAGACCAGGATTCAGACCTCAGCCCTTTGTCTTCCAGTCTAATCATTCTCCCACCATACCATTCTTCTTCAAAGGGTAGATTTTTTGTAGGCAAAAAAAAAAAAGAAGGTAAGGGAACTGAGGGCATTGGAGGAGAAATCCCAATGCATAATTGGTATCTAAATAGTGAAAAGTCACATTCCTTCCCTTTCTTTCCCAGGATAATGCTATCCTAGCTTGAATAGCTGCTGTTTACCTGCTGTAAAACTGGTACCCTGGTTTGCATTTAATCTCATTGCCAAATGACCATCTTGTCTTTCAGGCAACAGTCGCAGCTTTTGCAGCTAGTGAAGGTCATTCTCATCCTCGAGTAGTGGAACTACCCAAGACTGATGAGGGCCTTGGCTTTAATGTGATGGGAGGAAAGGAACAAAACTCCCCCATTTATATCTCTCGCATCATTCCCGGAGGGGTGGCTGAAAGACATGGAGGCCTCAAAAGAGGAGACCAGCTGCTGTCAGTGAATGGAGTGGTATGTTCTTATGATTACCCTGGATTTTCTCTGAGAATTTCCCTCCCTTCCTTCCCCAAATCTAACCATGGAATTATTACAGACACCTCTGAAATCCTAGTATATCCTGTTGACTGGAGCTAGAATTCCTGGCATAGACAACAATTTTGTGTGAAATAAGTAAGGATAGTAAACGCTTAACAATAATTTTATGGTTCGCTTCTCATTCAACTGCATAAGAACTTGAGTGAAAGAGTGTCTCTGTATATGGAATTTCTTTCTTTACAATCCTCTAACTAAGCCTGAGTTTGATAAATGGCATTTTTTTTAAACAAAAATACATCCAAATACAGTAGACCAATGGTACTTAGACATAAATCTTTGGCAGTTTGGTGAAACATATATACTACTCAGAATGACGTGGTTTTTTAATATTGAAGGAAATTCTAAATTACAGTTAGAAATCAGTGAAAATAAAGACTTTTTTTTTCCACATCCAAGTTCACAGATCACCTGAAATCTATCTACTTGGGGGAGGCAATCCGAGAACCCCTGATTAAGAACTCCTGCTCTAGACAAATATACATTTTTTGAAAGGGATCATTTAAGATGATGGATTTCTGTCTACATTAAAAAGCAAGAGAGCAGTCTTAGTGTCCTGAAGGGCCAACGTATAAAAAAATGGCAAATATGGGAGGAGATTTTCTCCAGTTGGATTATAGTACTTAATCTTACAACAAGTTCTTCCCCTGATGCCTCATGATTTGGAGAGAGGTTGGTTTCCTGCAGGTTATATCAGCAGAACACAAGCTCTGGCAAAATGTTGAGATTGTGTTTCCAGTTTGGGAGGGCCATTCTTCCCAAATTCAGAGAGGCATGTTTCCAGATGGTTGACCACCAGGTGGTTAATTTTTCCAAACTTATTCATGAGGATTGCTTAATAAGGCTTGAAAGGTATAGAATGCCAGTGGAGAGAGGATCTATCCTGGTAAAAATTATGGGTTTGTTGAAGCTTAAGTAAAAAAAAAAAAGTAATCCTACTCAATATTGACCTTCTTTCAACCCAGACAAAGATTCTAGAGAGAAACCATGTTATGTAAAAGTGTCAGGTACTTGTCTATATATATATATATATATATATATATATATATATATATATATATATATACAGGTGTTATCTACTTTTTAAAAAAAGTTTTCAATTAAAAAACATTTTTTCTCTCCCTTTTCTTTCCTCCAACCTTAAAGAAAAGAAAAAGAAAATCTTCGTAACAAATTATAAACCAAAATGTCATTTAAAGCTGTGCGGTGGGAACTCAGAAGCCAAGTTTTTATGGTTGTCACCAGGACGCACAGTACACGCTATGGCTCCCACAATTAGCAGAGCACCCGATAATTATCATAGTTTTTCTCATCATTTTCACAAGTGCCAAGTATAAATCTACCGACGAAGATGTGAGAAAAAAGAGGATGAACAATCTGCTGCTTACCTCTTGGCTGTCTTGCTTAATGAACTCAAGATTTCAGTAGCAAAGAACAGAGAAGTTGTCCAGTTAATATTTCCTGTTTACAAAGTACAATAGCAAAGAAATGAATAAGGCACAATTAAAATCTGGTATTACACAAGGTGTCCCAAAAGTTTTAGTGCATCTTTAAATGCTTAAAAGGGCATAAAAACTTTGGGGATGTTCTATAATTTCTCGTAGTTCTTTTTTTTTTTTACATGGGGGGAACCTCAATTATAAACCTATGACATCCTAAACTATTCAGGATTCTAATGCTGTGTCACATGCTTCAAAACTACAATCCCTCCTTCCCAATTGCAGAAGAGGCTGGTTTCATTTAATTTGATAGGAAATTTATTTCCTGTTTTGTAAGATCATGTAAAATGACGTTTTAAAATTTTTAATGGATCTCTGAACACCCCTGAATTTTCAAAAGCAAATTTTAACTTATTTCAGAGTTGAATTATTTTGTCCAAAGATGATAATGGAAGGCTTGCTATACTAGGTCAGACAGTTTTTAAAGCAAATTATGTGTGAATGTCTGAATATATTGATTATGTGAATATACAGAGAAGATTTTAAAAAAAAACTATCATCACAATGACTATGAAAATAAAAAGAAGTTTGGCTATTTCTTAATCCACAGTCCTAGACTATTTAGAGTAATTTTAAGGACAAGAATCACCAGCAAAGAGTAATAGATGTGATAGCCACAGGTAGTGAGTGATATAAACTCATTCAGGTAGATGGAAGCTGTGAGGTCACTGAACGCATCCTAGCTCCAAGCTTAAACCTCCCAGACACACAACAATCACACAGGTCTAGCAGATAAGAAGTGTAAATCGATTCCACGTATCTCACTGTGCATCCTGCTGAAACTGTAAACCCTGAGTAGTTCCCCACCCAGGAAAGGAATTTGGGCTGGAGGATAGAGCTAAATGGGTGGAAGGATAGGGTCAAGGTAGGCCAGTTCCATGGTCCCCAAGCTGTGCCTTCTGCCTCTAATAGGAATGGCAGTTTGTATACTGACCACAAAACAAAAAGAGCACATTGTGTCTGGTCTGCTAGAACCAGATGGAAGGGTTTATTTCCAAAGACAGTGGATAGAGCACTGGCTTGGGAATCAGAAGACCTCAGTTCAAATCCAGCCTCAGACACTTAGTACATCTATGACTCTCACAGCTTAAGTTACCTCATCTTTAAAATGGGGACAATAATAGCTACCTTTCTCAAAGGCTTATAATAAGGATCAAATTAGGAAATGTATGTAAAGTGTTTCATAGATCTTAGTTAGGAAGCACAGTGGGTAGTTGGACCTCGAATCAGGAAGACCTGAGTTCAAATCTGGCCTCAGACACTTACTATCTGTGTGACCCTGGGCAAGTCACTTAACCCTGTTTGCCTCAGTTTCCTCATCTATAAAATGGGCTAGAGAAGGCAATGGCAAACCACTCTAGTATCTTTTCCAAGAAAACCCCAAATGGAGTCACAAGGAGTTGGACACGACTGAAAATGACTGAATAACAACAACAAAATGTTTTATAAATGCTAGATGTTACTAGTGTTATTTCCTATACTTGTTTGTGTGTTGACAAAGGATTATTCCTTTAGGAATGATGGTGGTATGGGATCCTTGTCAGGTACCCTCCTACGTCCACCATTTTTATATAGGTGGAGCTTGGTTAGAAACAAATCAAAAGCATCCTTGAAAGCAAAAAGAGATAACAAATGAATAACATAAAGCATGTGCTGGGTCATCATCAGATCACAGACCTAGAGTTAGGAATGACCATATAGGCCATATAGTTCAACCACCCTTATTTTACAGATGAGGAAGCTGAAACCCAATGAGGTTAAATTTGACCAAGGTCACACACATAAGAAATAACAGAGCTAGTACTGGAACCCATGACTTTTGGCTACAAATTCAGCCCCCTTTCCATGAGACATTCCTCCCCTTTTGCAAACCTTGGAGCCATAGAGGATTGCATACTCCCTTGGAGTCTGATGAAGCAGGTGGAGTTGGGATAAGGTTCAGAGTGTGAAGGATGGAAAAGTTAGATTTTGAGTGATTGATATTGAAGCAAAAAATAGCACAATTGTGTGGAAGAAGAATTGTATGTGGGAGCAAATGATTTAGGGCTCAAATCCTAGTATGCCACTTATTTCTTGTGTGATCTCTCTATGCCTCCACTTCTTCATATGTAAAATGAGGGGTGGAGAGGATAGATTACCTGTGAAGTCCTACCTGGATCTAAATCCATGATCCTGTGAGTATGAGTCAATGTGGATGGCTGGGGGTACATGTTTGGGTGTGGGTCTCCAGAGATCATTCCTCAGATAATCTGTTATATGATATTGGGGAGTAGGGGAGCATGGAGGTCACCCTATACTCATTCATCTGGCAAGATTGAGATGCTTGATCTTCTAATGGTCAACCCTCTCATTACATAGAACAATTACAGAGTTGTTAGGGATTCCCACAATGTCTTCTAGTAATCTAATAATTCCCATGAAGTAATTTCAGAATTTAGGGGGCTGAAATGATCACAACAAATATAGATAGCTGATTAATTAATAGATAGTTCTAAAACACCGATTGTATCCTCATAAAAAAAAAAGCATTCCTTGAACAATGGGAGTGGATGGATGGAGGTAGTAAGTGGATTCAGAGATCAGTTACTGATTGAGTATGTGAGTTACTATGAGTAGGTCCTTAGTAAACTAACTGCATTTTCAAAATAGAAAGTAAATTTTAAAAGTAATAATTAACATTCATAAAAACTTTATAAAACTTTAGGATTTCAAAACACTATAAATGTCGCATTTTATCCTCACAACAATCCTGGGGGGAAGGTGCTATTATTATCCCCATTTTATAGATGAGGAAACTAAAGCATACAGCGTGAAGTGACTTTCCTGGAGTCACCCAACTAGGAAGTGTCTGAGGGAGGATTTGAATTCAATCCTTCCTGACTCCCAAGTTCAGGGTTCAATCCACTATCACTATACCAGCTAGCTGCCAGGGTAACCAAGAGCTAAGACCTTGATGTGGGTAAAGTAGGGCAGCACATAGCCCCTTCAACTACTATTTGAAAAGATGAAAGACGAGTTTATAAGTCTCTGCTGAAAGCTTCCCTCATGCCAAAGTAGTTTTTAATCTACTTTTTTTTAACATAGGATTGGCAGAAAAAATCTTAGGCAAAGGCAAAATCTTAAAGGAGGCAAAATTTATCCTGGGCTGGAAAGTGGCATAAAGTGCTGGGCCTGGAATCAGAAAGACCTGATTTCAAATCCAGCCTTAGACACTTACTAGCTGTGTGACAAGTTGCTTAACAGAAGTCCCTGGGCAAGTCACTCAACCTTTGTCTGCTTCAGTTGCCTCAACTGTAAAATGGGAATAACACTACCTACCTCCCAGGGTTGTTGTCCAGATAAAAATGAGATAATAGTTGTAAAGTACTTGACACAGTGCCTGCCACGTAGTAATAAATGCTCCTTCCCTCCCTCCTTCTT